AAGGGGTCGGGGAGAGCAGAGCAGCTACTCCATCTCCTCTCCTCAGGGGCTCTATACTTAAAATTTTCCTGCATTCAGGAATAGCTATAGCTATATTATTGGTATGTCAGTTTACCTTCTGCACAATGTTGCAGGATGCCTGCTTGAAGCTAGCAGGAAGCTTACTAACCTATGTCTTAATGGTCAGCCTAAAGGAGTCATAGTAATTCTGGAATGAGCAACAGTCAGAGTTACATATATTAAGCATTAAAAACAATGGGGAGTGGAGCAGAAAATCTTTACTTCAGTTCCACTGTGATTCTGCAAGACATTTCACACCCCTCTGGATCATAGTTTCTTCAAATATAAAATGAAAAGAGTTTATCTGCCCTGTCCATGTTCCAGAACTTGGGAAGAAAAAAAGTGAGCTAATGCTTAGAAGATACTTACAGGCTGTAAAATGCTATGTACATAGGGACATTAGCAAAATAATGTTCATTTATCCCTGAGGTATTCAATTAACACGTATTGATGTCTATTATGTGATAAGCAGGAAGAAAATCGAGACCGTACACATACTGATTATACCTCTTAATTGGATAATTAATCTGATACAACTTGATAAGTGAATGCTAAGATATGCATAAGTGCATTTTTCTCCACATCTACCATTAAGAGATAAGTTCTCTTGTCTCTCATTCTTTTTTTGTTCTTTTTCCAAATTTCTAGACTATCCCTTTACCTATATTATTTTTGTAATTAGAAAAAGCAATGGTTTAGCCTTAAGGGAGTTAGTTTTGCCTCTCCCAGATTTCACCATGAAAGCTCACCAAATTCCCTTACCTACCCAGAGATTATGTGCTCTATGTTAGAACTACGGGATGATTGGCACCAAGTGTGGTCCACACTTCCTCACTCCTAAGGGCTAAACTTGGATGCTTTGGATGCAACAAGCCTTGGGATTTTTATATTTTAGTGCAGCACATTCCCAGAAACTTCCTGAACAATTCCACCCGTGAGTGCTCACAGACTCAGGCTTTCCCTCTTTCTATTTCAAATTCTGACTGAGTAATTAATGTATGATTTGAAAGCTCAATGCAACTACTGAGAAGAGCCATGTAATAGCTGACAAAATCACATTCTAAACGGCTTATGGATGATCCTCATCATTTCTCTCAAAAACTTTAAATTACGAGCGCTCCTCTAGGCCCTTTTGCTAACCAGTTGCCATTTTTCTTTTATTAAGCAGATTTTCAGAAAGTTCTACAGATGACACTTGGAAATACAGATTCCTGCTGATGGGACCTTAAACATAGGGGCTGCTGGGGCAAAGGTATCAAGTTTGGACCAGAAGACAAACACTACTGGAAAACATCATCAACGCCCATGGTTTTCAACAGGTGAGCTGCTCGGTCTGGGATCCAATCTCTGGAAAACAGAGGGAAATGGCCAATGGAATACTGTCTTCTTGGATTCCGACTCTTCTGAGACTTAATCTCTCACCTCTTTAATTCTGGGGTCATGCTTCTTTCAGTTTCATCTGTTCTTTATTTTTATTTAAGACTTTATTTATTTAGTTGAGAAAGAGAGAGCACAGAGGGAGAGGGAGAAGCAGACTCCCTGCCGAGCTGGGAGCCCGATGCAGGGCTCGATCCCAGGACCCTGAGATCATGACCTGAGCTGAAGGCAGACACTTAACCGACTGAGCCACCCAGGCGCTCCTATCTGGATTTTAATATACATAAGACATACAAATGATACAAAAGAGAGGAGGGTATTCCTTGGTGGCAGTGGGAGCTCACCTAAGAGCCTGGCGTGTGGTAACACTCTACAAATATTTGCTGGGTAACCGAAATGATCATGAAACAAGCAATGAAGGAAACCACATCACCACCACCAAGTTCAGAGTAAGAACAAACAAAAGATGGGGGCCATATAACCACAATAGTTAATACCTGTTGAGTTAGTAATGGGTGCCATATACTTTTCTAAGCTTCTAAGCATGCTATTATCTTATTTATTCCTCAAAAACCCTTATGGGGTATTATTTCATCATCCGTTTTATAGATCTGGAAACAGAGCTTTGGAAAGGTTTAGTAAATTTCTAAGGATAATCGGTTGGTGTGTAGTCAGAAGTCAAATCCAAGATCCAATTCCACTTGACAGGGACAAGGATGATCAGGATAAAGAAACCTGGGGCATCTGAAATTTGTAAACCAGAATGTGGGGGATGCCTTCCATAGGTTCCTACCATTCTAGGGGTTGATAAGAACCAAACAGATGCATAAAATATGGCTCCCTCCCTGCAAAGAACTTGTACACAGCATTTTTTTCAAGGTATGATCCCCCTGTTCTGAAGGTGACCTTCACTGAAGGAGCCACTTCACTGGGACTTTCTTCAGTTAGATTTCTCAGTTAGATTATAACCTCCTGAAGACGGGGTCAGTGGCTACTCTTCCCTTTGAACTTCCTTGCCTTGCACAGATCAGTACTCATTCTTCAAATCCTTCTATTACTGAGTTGTCAATAGACCTAAACATGACAGATATCCCAAAGGGTAAGTAAGCACTGGAAAGCAGAAATTCCCTAACTCATTACAGCAGGGGTCAAAATTTTGGTGAAGTCAAGAAAAATGATGGAAGTGAATGTGTATCTTTGATTTATTCATAAAGTGTAAAAGCAGATTGTCCTGACTGACGTTTTCCTTAGGCCCTAGTTCTCAGGCAACATTTACCAGTCACAAATCATGAGCCAGTTGGCACAGGGAACAATGGAGGTGTATTTCTCCCCCATTGGGAATGAGGCTTCTCATTTTCTTTTTTTACATCAAAAAAGTAATATATTAGACAGCTTTTTTCTGTAAATATGGTATTCACCAAAGGATTTTACCAAGTACGGAAGCAGAATATATCATTGTGAGGGGAATGGGAAGTGACGGACATTTTGCAAAGGACACAAAATAAAAAAGAGTTAATGATGCATAAAGATAACGTGCAGGGGCAGCAGGAATGGAGTAAGAAAATATCAAAATATTGGTCTGGGCACTACAAATTGCTGCTGAGTATAAGGAAGCAGAACCACAGTTCATCTGAAAGCAGAGGTGTCCAAGCAATGTGTCTTGGCATCAGAAAGTTACAGATGTGCCATGAAATGTTGATCCCTTTGGTCTAGAGGTGGCTGGATGGGCCGGGAGGCCAGAACACCGGGAGGAGGTCTCTGGCTATGAGAATACTACCCGAGGGAGCCACAAAGTGTGGCCTGCGCTGAACGAGAGTCTGAAAGTGTACCCTACAATCCCCAAAGGAGGCAAGCACAATGGTGGTGTTTGCCGTGTGCTGAGTGGAACCAAGGAGAACATGGATTTTAGCAGCCAGCTGAGAGTGTGACCCAGCTACAGGAAAGAGACCCCTGGAGATGCTGGGAAGGCTGGTGTTCCAGGATGCCTGGGATAGGGCATGCAGCCCAGAGGGCGGCCAGCCAGGGTAAGGGCACTGGAAGGCTAAGTAGGTTGTCCTGGTGGAGGGAGCTCTAGACCTTACACTTTAATACAGCAGACACTTCTGTGTGTTCCTGGCTGATGTGCCCTTTGAGTGGTGACCAACTTAGCAGCATGGTGACCCCTTTAACACATAGACTTTGGAAAACCAGTACGTCAACATCTTTGGAAATATTTGATATGGAAGAGAAAGAGTTCAAGTGGATTCAGAATTTATTCTCATTGTCCTAGAAATTTCAACATATCGGAAAGAAAAGAAGAAAGTCGGAAAGAAGAGGAAGAAAGAAAGAAAGAAAGAAAGAAAGAAAGAAAGAAAGAAAGAAAGAAAGAAAGAAAGAAAGAAAGAAGAGCTGGGAAAATGTCAAGATATCATTTCAGTAGTTGCAAAAAATACATATATGTGGTTTTACATTTCAATTGCCTTCTTGCACAAAGTTTCCCCACGATGATAGTACGTATATCGTATGCTATCATTTTCAAAGTTTTGATCAAAGTTCAAAGTTTTGATCAGGAAATGTGTGTCATAATTTCAAGTATAAAGTCACATATAATCAAATTTTGTTCATGGAATCTAGCTGAAATTTCTCCTTGAAAGTTTAAGAAAGATCTTATTTGGAAATAAATAAGATTTATTTCCTCAGTATACTCAGGCACTCAGTATTTAATATTTTCCTTAGTCTTATGTATCTCATCCTTATATCACACAAAGAAATGTAAAGAAATATAAAGAAATGTTCTTACCAAGCCCTTTACAGATATACCCAAATCACATCCATAATTATTATTCTAGTGTAACTACACTAATATATCACTACTTTCTGGCGGTGTTGACATGGAAAATGTTGGGAAGTAGTCCCCAAAAGCACCTTTTACTACTAGAAAATCTTCAATATTTTTCCCCAGAGCCAAGCCCTACGAGTAGGCAGACTGGAGAAATGTCCTGTATGGATGACCAGTTTGGGCCAAAGCAAAACAGCTAAAGAGGATATTCCCCAAAACCACAAGAATACTGGAGCAAGGAGAGGACCTTCTTTCCTTTTAAACTCTCGAAGACATGTAACCTAATTTTGCAGGGCTGGGAAGGAAAGATCGACAGGTGAAAATTCATCCCCACAAAATCAAAACAAACATTTGTGTTTTATTTCTACCGTCAAAGATGTGAAATATGAAAGGTGACGCAAGGCAAACCTGAATGGCATGCCCAGCTAGGCCGGAAAGAATTTATGAGAGAAGCCAGTAATTCTGGCTGCCTCGCCAATGCCGTTATCCACCAGCCTGAACCTTCCTTTCAGATCATCTTCTCAAATTATCCATAGGAGATTTATTCACATACTCAATAAGAAAAATATTTCTAATTATATCCAGCCATTCTTCAGATGAATGAGAATTATGCAGGGGTGCAAGGCTGCCAAGACTTTTTCTGCCAAACAATTCCTTTTGACTTGAGAAAGAACAGGCAGCTGCATTGTTTCCATAGCTATCCATATAAAAGAGCCCTTGGAATGAGGCTGACTCGTCCTGCTTTAAAAAGCTCCAAGGTAAGTGGGAACGGGCTACGGGCTTTCAAGAGGGACACTGACCACGCTGCCGGGCGTCAGCTCCAGCTCCTTGCTCGGGTACAGCTCCTTTAGATACTGCACGTTTTTTACAACAGTGACTTTTGTAGCCTTCTGTTGACAACAGCTAGCAAGATGCAGATGGGATTTTGTATGTGTGTATGTGTGTTGGGGCAGGGGGGTGCTTTTGGTTAACTAATACAGTGCTTTCCCCCTCTTTTTTATAGAACTGTCTTGTTTCCAGGCTACGTCTTCTCACTTGCTAACAAGGTAAGGTTTGGACTAAGCAGTCCCTGGAAGAGAAGGTGAGAGGTTCTGGGGTAGAACTGTGTCACTTAGCAACCTTTGAGAAAGTGCTGGTCCCAGGAAATACCTTAATGACTGTACTTCAGGAAAGGTGCTGGAGAGGGAGGGAAGGAGGACTTGCCTTTCAGAACAATGCACTTAGACTCATTCAGAATGCAATCATTAACATTAACCACTTCTTGCTTAACAAGGAAACGGCTAACGGAGTACTAGTTTGTCCACAGAACATCATTCTGTAGGGAAAAGAGATCTGCAATAAGATTCTCTTGCCAAAAATCTCAACTTTGATAAAAACGTATCCTGCTATTACAATTCATTAAGTAAACATGATATCCAACAAATAAGCAAGAAGGTACCTAGGAAAAAGCCTCCTTTAAGCTGCTTAAAAACCTGTAAAATGTTCCCTTGCCCGGTGTTGACTGTTGCATGAAGTTAAAATGCTGTGAGCCTTTTGTTAGGCACATAAAGGTATTAATAGGGCCAACTACTACACCCTGGGTTTCTGGAGGGAGACACGGGTGGGTAGCAGATCAAAATGACTTTCAAGTAACTGGATCCTGTGATGACGGAGCGACATTCTTTGCCAAATCTTTCATTCTACTGATGCCGCTGGCAACCTGCAATTAACAGAGAATGGAGCAGTCCAAGTCTGCCTTCTCCAGCAGGAAATTTGGAAGGGCAAAGGGAGCCCCTCAATGCAGAAGAATTAGGATAATATCATACTGCATGTTGACTAAACATCGATAAAATAAATTTAAAATAAAAATAATAATATGAGGATAACATTTCTATGGCTTTTATCCTCAGTTAACTTAGCCGATTAATTGGATGATAATATGCCAATTATAAGATATAATAAGCAAAGAAATTCTGTTAGGCAAACACTGATAAGCACACAACCCGAGAAGAAGAGGTAAACAAAATTATCATCCCCAAAATGCCTGACCCTGGGCACTTCTGGCTGAGTATCTAAAGGAGGAAATGAAGTTCTCTTGCAATCTAGGACAAGAAATGGAGTTTTCTTCCATTACAATAAATGGCACTTTCCATCGAGATGGGAGCCTGCACTATTTGAAACTGCTTTCTCAGTCATCATGTAACTTTGTTCCCAAAGTAGTCCTCCAGGATCTCACGGGCTGTGAATTAAGAAAGGCAGATGCTCTAATCCCTCTTCTAGGAGGGAGGCACCATTTCTCAAAAAAGATCAAGGGATCAAGGGTCACCAGCTCCTCAGCAGCACACAGATACCACGCCCAGCTCCTGGAGGAGGATGCTAGTCTTGGATGTTGAAAGAAAATAGTGCGTGCCAAGCCTTGAGTACAGGGCTGGTTATAGAGCGACCCTCAATGCATTTGAGGCTTGGTATTAAGTTTGTTTCAGTAATGACAGCATGGTGAACAGGGGGCCTGCCTGGGGGAGATTTCCAGATGGGGCAGTGTCCATGAACTATCCCCACCAATATATAGAGATATACTGATACACATGACAGTCCAGAATCTCTAATGTGAAATGCTTCATCTCCATTAGGACCTCTGAGTTCAGCAGCCATGAGTTCAGACCAGGAAATGGCCATTTTCGGGGAGGCGGCTCCGTTCCTTCGGAAGTCTGAAAAGGAGCGCATCGAGGCCCAGAATAGGCCCTTTGATGCCAAGACATCTGTCTTTGTGGCGGAGCCCAAGGAATCCTTTGTGAAAGGGACCATCCAGAGCAGAGAAGGAGGGAAAGTGACGGTGAAGACCGAGGCTGGAGCGGTGAGTGGAGCCCCTGGAGCTGGCCCCGTCCTATCAGTTCTTGTGTTTGGTCTCTCGACTCACCTGAGCCGTTATCGTCCCCGTTTGCCAGACTCTGACAGTGAAAGATGATCAAGTCTACCCCATGAACCCTCCCAAGTACGACAAGATCGAGGACATGGCCATGATGACCCACCTGCACGAGCCCGCCGTGCTGTACAACCTCAAAGAGCGTTATGCAGCCTGGATGATCTACGTGAGTGCCTCCCCGGCCCAAGTGGTTTTTATAGCCATGACCTTGGACCTGCCAGCCCATTACTTCCACTGTCATATAAATGGATCAAAAGCAGTGACCCATTTTGCTTTCACTAGTGCTGTAACTAGTCATCGCACATGTTAACTAGCTAGCACATCAGTTAGTTAACGAGTTACAAGGTCCACTAGTGCTGTTGTAAGGCATAACACAAGAGCCAGTACTTGATCCTTTGTCTTCCCATCCAAAGCTGGGCAAGGCCATTGTCCATGTGGAGTGGGTTGGCCACATGTCCCCTGAGCAAACACGGGAGCAGCTACTGTTTATACCTCAGCAACCCCCCACCCTGTTCTAGTTGTAGAATCATCCAGGGGGAAATGATACACTTACACTTCAATGCATAAAAATGTTTTTAAAGACCAAATTTTGCTCATTTTCAGAAAGCTTCCAGAAGGACAGCAATTTCTATCTGTGTGTTATGGTCCCCTGTACACGAAGGCCACCCCCTGGAGGAAGCCTCCCATCTTCCCCAGGTGGAGTGGGGTGTCCTAGTCCTATGGTCTCTGCCCCAGCCCCAGCTCTGATGGTCCATCCCTTCACACGTCTTCCCCCAGCACAGACCGTAGACCAGGAGCTTCCCAAGGAATGTACCTCACCCTTCATTCCAGGTGCCTTGCAGGGGTCTGGCACATAATACACAATTGAACTTACTACATCACGTTGACAATTTTGTGTAGTTCAGCCGGTGCTGACGCTCAGCCAGACAACACCCACACAGGTGTCCCTCGTGATTAGGGTTAGCATCTGTTCTGACTGGTCCATGCCCGTTTTACTCCAGTTGTTTAAGATTTTGAAATGTTCCCTGTTTAATCATGATGTACTTACATCATTTTGGGTTCTGTGTCTTTATAGCTTAATAGTGTTCTGCAAATGTCGCCCCAGGATTGCTGGATCCTTAATTACATGCCTGCATCATACTGTCTTAGGATTGCCACAGTTCCCCTAACCAACTCTTTATAATTGGGCACTTCAGTTGTGTCCAAACTTCTGTTTTCATGCATCTGAACGATCTTAATGCTGCAAAGGAAATACACACATATCTCCTAAAACACAGTAAAAATGTCTCACCCTACACATTAAAAAAAAAAAAAAAAACCCTCAAAAACAAAAAACAAAAATCCTTTGGAGCTCCTATTATCCAAAAATCATTATGCTAAGTCCCAAGAGGAACAATAAAAAGTCAAAACTGTGAGCCCTTCCTTCAAGGATCTTGCTATCTCACTGTTGAAAGTTCCAACTAATTTTCATGCCAATGCCTTCAGGAAATGTAGGATACTTCCTTAAAGTGCTCCTTTGAGTCAGAATTCGTTTAACAAGTGAATTGCACACCTGACGGGAAAAGCTCTTTCTCATTCCCTTGGGTAGACCTACTCGGGCCTCTTCTGCGTCACCGTGAACCCCTACAAGTGGCTGCCGGTCTACAACCCCGAGGTGGTGACCGCCTACCGAGGCAAGAAGCGCCAGGAGGCCCCGCCCCACATCTTTTCCATCTCTGACAACGCCTACCAGTTCATGTTGACGGGTGAGTTAAATGCTTTGTGTGTGCATAATCTTTTTGGAACCACAGGAGAGAGAGACACTAACGGTCTTGGGATGCTCTTTGAGCCCCCTCGGTTGGGCTGGTGTTTTGGTGAGGGAGGCGGTCCAGGAAGGAGGGGGTGTAAAAGATGATTTGCAATCCTTACCATCACACAATTGCTCATGGTCTCTTCAACTTCTAAAAGGCAACAGAGGTTGGCCATAGTGAGAGAATTTGTTTTTGAATGACTCAGAAACTAGAAAAGCTTGAGCAAAAATGACAAACGTTTATGTGTGTGCACACACGCAATCACACGTACAAACTGTGCTCCCATTGCCAAGAGCCAAAATCTGGAAGAGTACAATCTGCCCCTGTCTTATCCTCAATGTCAGAAACTGTGACCAATGAATGCCCTCTCTATTAGGGAGGGCATAAATGCTCCTATCCTGAGCCAGCCTCCATGCGCTCCAGATTTTAAGGTGTATTTGGTATTAAAACAGCTTTGCCATGAATCTTCTCCCTGGAAGACTACCTCAGCCAGCCTAGTCCTAGCTAACTGGGGAAAGGACTTAGAGAACTCGTCTTTGAAGAGAGTAAAACAAACCTTTCCCTCACACTATGACTAAAGCCGTGATTACTTCCAAAGCTACCACCTGTGCTGTATTTACCCCATCCTGCATGTTAAAATGCTTACTTTTCATGAGTTCTTACACCTACAATAAACACTCACTATTCACTGCTAGAGTTGTCATCTAAACCCAAGTGAAGGCTCAGTCCACTTCTGATATGTCCTTAGTGACAGAATATTACAAAAAAAAAAAAAAAAAAAAGTCCGGTGTTTTGTTGCAGTGTTCTGTTTAAACAGATGCACATGCCCTGAAGTCAGAGGTGGGGTGTGGGGAAGTACTGGGGTACATGGAAGGGGCACTGGAAAAGCCCTAGGGATTGCAAAGGCCAGTCTGAAAAATACTAAGTTTATTCCATTTTACTTTACTCACGGTTTACAAAAATACAAAACAAAAACCAAAACCCCACTATTAAATGTCTATGATTTCTCTCTTGTAGACCGAGAGAATCAGTCAATCCTGATCACGTAAGTAAATTTTATGCTTTCTTCTCATGGCTGCGATGGTTGCCAGGTTTGGAACTTCATCTCACTTAGTTTTTGTTTGACAGCGGAGAATCTGGTGCGGGGAAGACTGTGAACACCAAGCGTGTCATCCAGTACTTTGCAACAATTGCAGTCACTGGGGAGAAGAAGAAGGAGGAAATTACCTCTGGCAAAATTCAGGTGGGTCTGCGGCCAGACTCTAGACTCTCAGGGCTCTTGGAAAGTCTGGAGCCCTAGATGGAGGTAAGGACCGCTCTTGCCTTTGCAGGGGACCCTTGAAGATCAAATCATCAGCGCCAACCCCCTACTGGAGGCCTTTGGCAACGCCAAGACCGTGAGGAATGATAACTCCTCTCGCTTTGTAAGTTGCAGACACAAGTACGGGCACTGTTCACTGGTCACAGTATATGGGGTGTTTGTGAATATGTTCTTTAAATCTTTTTCGTTCACATTATACTGCATCGGGCTTCTCCTTTCCCTCTGAGCATGTAATAACATGGATCCGAGTCCCATCTAAAAAGATATGTGACCCTATATCTGAGTTCTTTCTCACCTGTCATTACCTACAATTATTTACAATATGAAAATCAAAGATAAAATTCTTTTACCTAAAGAAACAGGAGATATACCTTTTCTGACTCATACAATCAGTCTCTGGATTGATTTAATATCAACCCATTAGCATTCCAAGTATATTGAGTTTCCCAAAGATTTGATATGATTTGAAAACAAAGTAGTAATATTAGTTTTCCTTTCAAGGGTAAATTCATCAGAATCCACTTTGGCACCACAGGGAAGCTGGCTTCTGCTGATATTGAAACATGTGAGTGCTTGGATCTCCTTTATAGTCATTTCTGCTTCCTATAACCTACAAAGTCAACCCAAAGTAAAATGTGCATCCCACATGAATTTTTGTATTGCCCTGTTGGTTATTTCCTTCCAGATCTGCTAGAGAAGTCTAGAGTTACTTTCCAGCTTAAGGCTGAAAGGAGCTATCATATTTTTTATCAGATCACATCGAACAAGAAACCAGAACTAATTGGTAAGAAATGTCATAATCCCTTTCTAGAATGATTGCACCAGCCCCTCTCCATCTCCTAGTATTCCATGACTGAATTTTGTCAGTTTTATCACCTTGATTTCAAAAGTAGTTTTGTGAGTTTATTGTGATTATAGAAATGAAAAGCAAAAATTTAGCACCTTCAAATCCTATCACTATGAAATAACCACTGTGAACACTTGGGTGAATATCATTGTACTCATTTTCTGTACATATAGATACTCAGACATACAGTAACTGGAATCCTATGTCAGTGTTCTTCTGTGATATACTTTTTTCATCGAGCAATACCGTATCATGGTTTTTTTCCATGTCACCAATTATAGCTCCACATTATTATTTCTAATGGTTGCATCATGTTATATTCTAGAGATAAGCATAACTTATTTAGCAATACCTTTTAAAGGATATTTAGGTTGTTTCCAATTCTGGATTTTTAATAGTCAGCACTGTGCTGATCATTCTTACAGATATAACTTGTCCCAGTATGTGATAATCTTCTTGAGCTTTATAGATTGTCTTAGACTTTGTCTAGATATCTCTTGTTTTAATGAAGGGGTTCATTCTGCTTACCTTTTCTCTGTTCCATGTATTTAGAAATGCTTCTGATCACCACCAACCCATATGACTACCCATTTGTCAGTCAAGGGGAGATCAGTGTGGCTAGCATTGATGATCAAGAAGAACTGATGGCCACAGATGTAAGTGCAACACAAGAAACTCAGAATGATGATGTTGGGTTAGAGCAATGGTCCCTCCAGATAAATATTCAGTTTCTAGTAGAAATAGCAAAAGAGGGTTCAAAGTTGAGCACGGATGTGCCACCTGAAGTCAGCCAAAAAGATGAAGATGTGCCCCCACAACACGTGACTTTTAAAGGTCTATCATTTCTGAATTTATCTAAACCACATTTTTTTTTTTGGGTAATCTACATGAATGAGATCCATACCACTTCTCAAAAACAATAAGTTCCTTAAGTTTACTATCTTGTTCTCTATCTTAAGTTTCCTTCTTCAATCTGCTAGGGTTTGCAGATATAGGGTCTGCACCTATAATTCTAAAGCTCAGTGCTGGCCTTTGGTTGATTAACTCCCACTAGCCTTTGGTTAATCAACAGCCCTCTCTAAAGTGTTCCTTGCACCCCCATCAGCAATGATAATTTCCTCAGTTTGACCAACATGTCAGGAATCAGAATGTGAACAATGCATAGTAAGCATGTGGATCATAAACCTAACAGTTATTCTCTTGGTTATATTGGCAGAGCGCTATTGATATTCTGGGCTTCACTAATGATGAGAAAGTTTCCATCTACAAGCTCACAGGGTCTGTGATGCATTACGGGAACTTGAAGTTCAAGCAGAAGCAGCGGGAAGAACAGGCTGAGCCAGATGGCACCGAAGGTAACCAACTAAGTCATCCCCGATTTTTTGTTTGAAAATCACATTCTTAACTTGTTACCCTTGAGTTTTTCAAGGAAGACAAAATCATTTTTAAGAATTGAGTTTTAAAGTATACCCAGATAATATAGTATGTGAAGCATTGTGTTAAATAGATGTTTTCTATCATCTATGAAGTTCCTTAGGGCACACTACCCATAATAAAAGTCTTGAACTTAGTGAAAAAGAAATGGGTAAGAATGCTCAAAGAGATATTCTGAAAACACTGCACAAAATGTCTGTAGCTTAAAAACATTTTTTTTGAGAAAATGGGTTGCCTTGGGCCATAATAACATTGTTTTATCCTTTCTTCCTTTCAGTTGCTGACAAGGCGGCCTATCTCCAGGGTCTGAACTCTGCTGACCTGCTTAAAGCCCTCTGCTACCCCAGGGTCAAGGTTGGCAATGAGTACGTCACCAAAGGCCAGACGGTAGAGCAGGTAGGTGCATAATTCAAATTCACAGGCAGGAATCAAGCATTTTTACAGTCCTCTGATAACCTCAAGAGATATATTTTTGTTTTTCAAGGTGACCAATGCTGTGGGTGCTCTGGCCAAAGCCATCTATGAGAAGATGTTCCTGTGGATGGTCACCCGTATCAACCAGCAGCTGGACACCAAGCAGCCCAGGCAGTACTTCATCGGGGTGTTGGACATCGCCGGCTTTGAGATCTTTGACGTGAGTTGGTAACTGGTTGGTAAGGGGATTTTACAGTATGGCAACAGAAATATCAATAAGAAGAAATCTGTGAATATTATAACCCTCTCTCACTACTCCCAAAAAGCTATGCTGAACCTTAGAAGAGAATGATGGGGTAACTACTAAGCATTTACTGCAGTGGCAGTCCCCCTTCTATGACAGACCATGCACTTGATGAGCACTCTGAGTTGCTATGGGACCCAAAGAGGGTTAGGAGCCAGCTCAGTGTCAGGGGGAGGAGGTAGCCCTATAACTCTCACAGCGCCAAATGAAGTTAACATAAAAATGTCAAAGTAATCCCGTGAAACATATAACATGTTCTGAATATATGGTGGGGGAAGTCATTGAAAAACACTTAGACAAGACAAGAAGAACAGAGAAAAAAAGAGTAGTAATTTATAAAGTCAGCATTTATTCTCATTAATGGGATATTGTAAGATAAAAATCCCTATTTGATGAAATATAGTTTTCCTGCTTACAGTTTTAGGAAATTTATCTCTTTCTAATTATAAAAGCAAAAGTCGGACATTGTAGAAAATACACCAAATCAAGGGGAAGGGTCCCCTATTAACACCACTATTTATATCAAGTTAATGTTAACATTTTGGTGTCTGGTTTTTGTTGTTGTTGTTGTTGTTGTTTTTTAACACTAGTGTGTTATCGCACTGTATATGATAGCTGGTATCTTGATTTTGTTTTAATTTCCAATGAAGAAGAACAACAGTGTCAATTATTGTCTACTTGCAAAGCAGACACTGGTGATTTCCATACAACAGAGACCCCTCGCAGCCAACTCCAAATAGGTTGCCCATTAGCTCTTAATTGTGTCAATGGAAAATGGAGAAGATAATGGAATAAACATGAAATGATGAAGTGGGAACTCAGAAAAATCCCTGAGTGAGCTTAAGCCAGTGCAGGGCAAGAGCTTTAATATGATCTAGGATTCTGTAGTAAAATGGCAGCAGAGAAAACAATAGATTTCATAGTGCTTCCGGGTACCATGATTTTGATATCTGTAATCTAAAGGCTATTCGACATATATTTTTAAATTAAGAAGTCCTACATTTAAAAATGCTCAACTTGCTCAAGAGAAAAGCGAACTCATGTATTTATTTAGTTCAACAGCCTGGAGCAGCTGTGCATCAACTTCACCAACGAGAAGCTGCAACAGTTCTTCAACCACCACATGTTCGTGCTGGAGCAGGAGGAGTACAAGAAGGAGGGCATCGAGTGGACCTTCATCGACTTCGGGATGGACCTGGCTGCTTGCATCGAGCTCATCGAGAAGGTCTTCTGAACTGTCCACTCAGTAACGTCTTCTCATAAACTCCTTGGCACATCTTACAGCTCATATTTACCCTATATGCATTTTGTTTTGCTTTAATGTAGCCCATGGGCATCTTCTCCATCCTGGAAGAAGAGTGCATGTTCCCCAAGGCCACAGACACCTCCTTCAAGAACAAGCTGTATGAACAGCATATTGGAAAGTCGGCCAACTTCCAGAAGCCCAAGGTTGTCAAAGGCAAGGCTGAGGCTCACTTCTCACTGATCCACTATGCCGGCACCGTGGACTACAACATCACCGGCTGGCTGGACAAGAACAAGGACCCCCTGAACGAGACCGTGGTTGGGCTGTACCAGAAGTCTTCAGTGAAAACTCTAGCTTTCCTCTTCTCTGGGGCTCAAACTGCTGAAGCAGGTAATATTCAAGAATCCTAACACTTTCTCTAGGTATTCCAAAAAGTGCTGTTAGTTTGAGGCTGATCTCATAACCCTGCCAGAAGGATTGCAGAGCCAGATCCATTGTTCTTCCAAGTTTTGACTAAGTAGGCTGCGTTATAATCATACATTTGTGTCTCACTTACTGCAAAGGGTTAGAGAGAAACTGTTATGATCTCAACCAATGAAAAGCCTCAGCTTCTATGATTCTTTCCTACTTCTTCCTCCACGTCTGCTGGATATTGAGTATCTGGGGATATTTAAGACAATGGAATGACAACCTTCTGCCTATCTAGACTAGCTTCTATTAATGATTTTTGAAGTTATTTTGTCTCCACATGTCCTAACATTAAGGATCCATTTTTATATGGTGAAGTGAATGCCCTTTACTTCATCTTCTAATGGAAGAAAAAAATCACAAATAGTGGATACAAGCTTAGTTGACAGCTAAGTGTCATTTGGGCTCCAGTGGAGAGGCCAGTAGTGTCCAAAAACTGCTCCATCAGATGCGTGCAGAAATTGGCAATAAACAAGCAAGAAATAGCCCTGTCAGTTCAAAACCACACTTGAATGACACCTTTTCTTATTTGCTCTCCAGAGGCGAGTGGTGGTGCCAAGAAAGGTGGCAAGAAGAAAGGCTCTTCTTTCCAGACCGTGTCTGCCCTTTTCAGAGTAAGGAAGAAACTGTTTTTGACACTCCCCACTTCCTTTAGGAATTTGTTTTTAAAACCACAGAGTTCTTTCCACAAGTCACTGAGGAAGACTGACACTGATTAATGATATCTGTTAATCTAGTTTTGGAGAGAAGACGTTCAAATTACTCAGAAATTATTAGCTCATCTTTCATGCCAAGGAACACAATGCCAAATATTTTATAGGAAATTTTATAAAACTGAATATTCTACCATTCATAGTCTGGCTGAGTCATAAGACTAAGCAATGAATGACATGGTACTCAGAGAGATTAAATTAACAGTAAGGCTAATGAAAATCTAGCAGCTAGCCTATAGGAAATTTAATAGGGTATTCTTGTCCTTAATCTGGTCAGTCCTCAATTATAGCTGGTAAGATTGTTCCCCTTTAGATAACATTTATGCCCTAAGAGTTAACTGGGTTAGAAAGGAGAGCTATGTTTATGAGAAAAAGCAGTGTGGTGCAGGCTCACATGTCGTCCCTGGAGAACCATGGAGCCGGGTAGAAGAAAGTGTGGTCATCTTGTATAAGAAAGCAATGGCCTTGTAAGTGTATGTGGGAAGCCATGGACCAGGGAGGAAGTACGGCCTGTGTCAAGCTTCTTCCCATATGTAACTCCTTCCAACTCAAGGGGAGAAAGAGGTAATGAGGAGAAACCTACATCTCTGGAGAAGGATAGCAAGCTATTACTTTACATGGAAATGATCCATACCGGTCATTCAACTCAGCCATAAACATCGAACTTATAGACATCGCCAAATGCCCACAACCATGGCGAAAGTTGGGGATAACGGGCTCTTTCCTGACCTTACAGGAGAACTTGAACAAACTGATGACCAACCTCAGGAGTACCCATCCTCATTTTGTGCGCTGTATCATCCCCAATGAAACAAAGACTCCCGGTAAGAAGCTCTAGAGTGAAGGCACAAAGCAGGACTGCCACATTTCCTTTAAAAACAACAACAACAACTCTGCAGTGTAATCCATATGTATACTTTCAGGGGCCATGGAGCATGAACTTGTCCTGCACCAGCTGCGGTGTAACGGGGTGCTGGAAGGGATCCGCATCTGCAGGAAGGGGTTCCCAAGCAGGAAAGAAAGAAAGAAAGAAAGAAAGAAAGAAAGAAAGAAAGAAAGAAAGAAAGAAAGAAAGAAAGAAAGAAGAGCTGGGAAAATGTCAAGATATCATTTCAGTAGTTGCAAAAAATACATATATGTGGTTTTACATTTCAATTGCCTTCTTGCACAAAGTTTCCCCACGATGATAGTACGTATATCGTATGCTATCATTTTCAAAGTTTTGATCAAAGTTCAAAGTTTTGATCAGGAAATGTGTGTCATAATTTCAAGTATAAAGTCACATATAATCAAATTTTGTTCATGGAATCTAGCTGAAATTTCTCCTTGAAAGTTTAAGAAAGATCTTATTTGGAAATAAATAAGATTTATTTCCTCAGTATACTCAGGCACTCAGTATTTAATATTTTCCTTAGTCTTATGTATCTCATCCTTATATCACACAAAGAAATGTAAAGAAATATAAAGAAATGTTCTTACCAAGCCCTTTACAGATATACCCAAATCACATCCATAATTATTATTCTAGTGTAACTACACTAATATATCACTACTTTCTGGCGGTGTTGACATGGAAAATGTTGGGAAGTAGTCCCCAAAAGCACCTTTTACTACTAGAAAATCTTCAATATTTTTCCCCAGAGCCAAGCCCTACGAGTAGGCAGACTGGAGAAATGTCCTGTATGGATGACCAGTTTGGGCCAAAGCAAAACAGCTAAAGAGGATATTCCCCAAAACCACAAGAATACTGGAGCAAGGAGAGGACCTTCTTTCCTTTTAAACTCTCGAAGACATGTAACCTAATTTTGCAGGGCTGGGAAGGAAAGATCGACAGGTGAAAATTCATCCCCACAAAATCAAAACAAACATTTGTGTTTTATTTCTACCGTCAAAGATGTGAAATATGAAAGGTGACGCAAGGCAAACCTGAATGGCATGCCCAGCTAGGCCGGAAAGAATTTATGAGAGAAGCCAGTAATTCTGGCTGCCTCGCCAATGCCGTTATCCACCAGCCTGAACCTTCCTTTCAGATCATCTTCTCAAATTATCCATAGGAGATTTATTCACATACTCAATAAGAAAAATATTTCTAATTATATCCAGCCATTCTTCAGATGAATGAGAATTATGCAGGGGTGCAAGGCTGCCAAGACTTTTTCTGCCAAACAATTCCTTTTGACTTGAGAAAGAACAGGCAGCTGCATTGTTTCCATAGCTATCCATATAAAAGAGCCCTTGGAATGAGGCTGACTCGTCCTGCTTTAAAAAGCTCCAAGGTAAGTGGGAACGGGCTACGGGCTTTCAAGAGGGACACTGACCACGCTGCCGGGCGTCAGCTCCAGCTCCTTGCTCGGGTACAGCTCCTTTAGATACTGCACGTTTTTTACAACAGTGACTTTTGTAGCCTTCTGTTGACAACAGCTAGCAAGATGCAGATGGGATTTTGTATGTGTGTATGTGTGTTGGGGCAGGGGGGTGCTTTTGGTTAACTAATACAGTGCTTTCCCCCTCTTTTTTATAGAACTGTCTTGTTTCCAGGCTACGTCTTCTCACTTGCTAACAAGGTAAGGTTTGGACTAAGCAGTCCCTGGAAGAGAAGGTGAGAGGTTCTGGGGTAGAACTGTGTCACTTAGCAACCTTTGAGAAAGTGCTGGTCCCAGGAAATACCTTAATGACTGTACTTCAGGAAAGGTGCTGGAGAGGGAGGGAAGGAGGACTTGCCTTTCAGAACAATGCACTTAGACTCATTCAGAATGCAATCATTAACATTAACCACTTCTTGCTTAACAAGGAAACGGCTAACGGAGTACTAGTTTGTCCACAGAACATCATTCTGTAGGGAAAAGAGATCTGCAATAAGATTCTCTTGCCAAAAATCTCAACTTTGATAAAAACGTATCCTGCTATTACAATTCATTAAGTAAACATGATATCCAACAAATAAGCAAGAAGGTACCTAGGAAAAAGCCTCCTTTAAGCTGCTTAAAAACCTGTAAAATGTTCCCTTGCCCGGTGTTGACTGTTGCATGAAGTTAAAATGCTGTGAGCCTTTTGTTAGGCACATAAAGGTATTAATAGGGCCAACTACTACACCCTGGGTTTCTGGAGGGAGACACGGGTGGGTAGCAGATCAAAATGACTTTCAAGTAACTGGATCCTGTGATGACGGAGCGACATTCTTTGCCAAATCTTTCATTCTACTGATGCCGCTGGCAACCTGCAATTAACAGAGAATGGAGCAGTCCAAGTCTGCCTTCTCCAGCAGGAAATTTGGAAGGGCAAAGGGAGCCCCTCAATGCAGAAGAATTAGGATAATATCATACTGCATGTTGACTAAACATCGATAAAATAAATTTAAAATAAAAATAATAATATGAGGATAACATTTCTATGGCTTTTATCCTCAGTTAACTTAGCCGATTAATTGGATGATAATATGCCAATTATAAGATATAATAAGCAAAGAAATTCTGTTAGGCAAACACTGATAAGCACACAACCCGAGAAGAAGAGGTAAACAAAATTATCATCCCCAAAATGCCTGACCCTGGGCACTTCTGGCTGAGTATCTAAAGGAGGAAATGAAGTTCTCTTGCAATCTAGGACAAGAAATGGAGTTTTCTTCCATTACAATAAATGGCACTTTCCATCGAGATGGGAGCCTGCACTATTTGAAACTGCTTTCTCAGTCATCATGTAACTTTGTTCCCAAAGTAGTCCTCCAGGATCTCACGGGCTGTGAATTAAGAAAGGCAGATGCTCTAATCCCTCTTCTAGGAGGGAGGCACCATTTCTCAAAAAAGATCAAGGGATCAAGGGTCACCAGCTCCTCAGCAGCACACAGATACCACGCCCAGCTCCTGGAGGAGGATGCTAGTCTTGGATGTTGAAAGAAAATAGTGCGTGCCAAGCCTTGAGTACAGGGCTGGTTATAGAGCGACCCTCAATGCATTTGAGGCTTGGTATTAAGTTTGTTTCAGTAATGACAGCATGGTGAACAGGGGGCCTGCCTGGGGGAGATTTCCAGATGGGGCAGTGTCCATGAACTATCCCCACCAATATATAGAGATATACTGATACACATGACAGTCCAGAATCTCTAATGTGAAATGCTTCATCTCCATTAGGACCTCTGAGTTCAGCAGCCATGAGTTCAGACCAGGAAATGGCCATTTTCGGGGAGGCGGCTCCGTTCCTTCGGAAGTCTGAAAAGGAGCGCATCGAGGCCCAGAATAGGCCCTTTGATGCCAAGACATCTGTCTTTGTGGCGGAGCCCAAGGAATCCTTTGTGAAAGGGACCATCCAGAGCAGAGAAGGAGGGAAAGTGACGGTGAAGACCGAGGCTGGAGCGGTGAGTGGAGCCCCTGGAGCTGGCCCCGTCCTATCAGTTCTTGTGTTTGGTCTCTCGACTCACCTGAGCCGTTATCGTCCCCGTTTGCCAGACTCTGACAGTGAAAGATGATCAAGTCTACCCCATGAACCCTCCCAAGTACGACAAGATCGAGGACATGGCCATGATGACCCACCTGCACGAGCCCGCCGTGCTGTACAACCTCAAAGAGCGTTATGCAGCCTGGATGATCTACGTGAGTGCCTCCCCGGCCCAAGTGGTTTTTATAGCCATGACCTTGGACCTGCCAGCCCATTACTTCCACTGTCATATAAATGGATCAAAAGCAGTGACCCATTTTGCTTTCACTAGTGCTGTAACTAGTCATCGCACATGTTAACTAGCTAGCACATCAGTTAGTTAACGAGTTACAAGGTCCACTAGTGCTGTTGTAAGGCATAACACAAGAGCCAGTACTTGATCCTTTGTCTTCCCATCCAAAGCTGGGCAAGGCCATTGTCCATGTGGAGTGGGTTGGCCACATGTCCCCTGAGCAAACACGGGAGCAGCTACTGTTTATACCTCAGCAACCCCCCACCCTGTTCTAGTTGTAGAATCATCCAGGGGGAAATGATACACTTACACTTCAATGCATAAAAATGTTTTTAAAGACCAAATTTTGCTCATTTTCAGAAAGCTTCCAGAAGGACAGCAATTTCTATCTGTGTGTTATGGTCCCCTGTACACGAAGGCCACCCCCTGGAGGAAGCCTCCCATCTTCCCCAGGTGGAGTGGGGTGTCCTAGTCCTATGGTCTCTGCCCCAGCCCCAGCTCTGATGGTCCATCCCTTCACACGTCTTCCCCCAGCACAGACCGTAGACCAGGAGCTTCCCAAGGAATGTACCTCACCCTTCATTCCAGGTGCCTTGCAGGGGTCTGGCACATAATACACAATTGAACTTACTACATCACGTTGACAATTTTGTGTAGTTCAGCCGGTGCTGACGCTCAGCCAGACAACACCCACACAGGTGTCCCTCGTGATTAGGGTTAGCATCTGTTCTGACTGGTCCATGCCCGTTTTACTCCAGTTGTTTAAGATTTTGAAATGTTCCCTGTTTAATCATGATGTACTTACATCATTTTGGGTTCTGTGTCTTTATAGCTTAATAGTGTTCTGCAAATGTCGCCCCAGGATTGCTGGATCCTTAATTACATGCCTGCATCATACTGTCTTAGGATTGCCACAGTTCCCCTAACCAACTCTTTATAATTGGGCACTTCAGTTGTGTCCAAACTTCTGTTTTCATGCATCTGAACGATCTTAATGCTGCAAAGGAAATACACACATATCTCCTAAAACACAGTAAAAATGTCTCACCCTACACATTAAAAAAAAAAAAAAAAACCCTCAAAAACAAAAAACAAAAATCCTTTGGAGCTCCTATTATCCAAAAATCATTATGCTAAGTCCCAAGAGGAACAATAAAAAGTCAAAACTGTGAGCCCTTCCTTCAAGGATCTTGCTATCTCACTGTTGAAAGTTCCAACTAATTTTCATGCCAATGCCTTCAGGAAATGTAGGATACTTCCTTAAAGTGCTCCTTTGAGTCAGAATTCGTTTAACAAGTGAATTGCACACCTGACGGGAAAAGCTCTTTCTCATTCCCTTGGGTAGACCTACTCGGGCCTCTTCTGCGTCACCGTGAACCCCTACAAGTGGCTGCCGGTCTACAACCCCGAGGTGGTGACCGCCTACCGAGGCAAGAAGCGCCAGGAGGCCCCGCCCCACATCTTTTCCATCTCTGACAACGCCTACCAGTTCATGTTGACGGGTGAGTTAAATGCTTTGTGTGTGCATAATCTTTTTGGAACCACAGGAGAGAGAGACACTAACGGTCTTGGGATGCTCTTTGAGCCCCCTCGGTTGGGCTGGTGTTTTGGTGAGGGAGGCGGTCCAGGAAGGAGGGGGTGTAAAAGATGATTTGCAATCCTTACCATCACACAATTGCTCATGGTCTCTTCAACTTCTAAAAGGCAACAGAGGTTGGCCATAGTGAGAGAATTTGTTTTTGAATGACTCAGAAACTAGAAAAGCTTGAGCAAAAATGACAAACGTTTATGTGTGTGCACACACGCAATCACACGTACAAACTGTGCTCCCATTGCCAAGAGCCAAAATCTGGAAGAGTACAATCTGCCCCTGTCTTATCCTCAATGTCAGAAACTGTGACCAATGAATGCCCTCTCTATTAGGGAGGGCATAAATGCTCCTATCCTGAGCCAGCCTCCATGCGCTCCAGATTTTAAGGTGTATTTGGTATTAAAACAGCTTTGCCATGAATCTTCTCCCTGGAAGACTACCTCAGCCAGCCTAGTCCTAGCTAACTGGGGAAAGGACTTAGAGAACTCGTCTTTGAAGAGAGTAAAACAAACCTTTCCCTCACACTATGACTAAAGCCGTGATTACTTCCAAAGCTACCACCTGTGCTGTATTTACCCCATCCTGCATGTTAAAATGCTTACTTTTCATGAGTTCTTACACCTACAATAAACACTCACTATTCACTGCTAGAGTTGTCATCTAAACCCAAGTGAAGGCTCAGTCCACTTCTGATATGTCCTTAGTGACAGAATATTACAAAAAAAAAAAAAAAAAAAAAAGTCCGGTGTTTTGTTGCAGTGTTCTGTTTAAACAGATGCACATGCCCTGAAGTCAGAGGTGGGGTGTGGGGAAGTACTGGGGTACATGGAAGGGGCACTGGAAAAGCCCTAGGGATTGCAAAGGCCAGTCTGAAAAATACTAAGTTTATTCCATTTTACTTTACTCACGGTTTACAAAAATACAAAACAAAAACCAAAACCCCACTATTAAATGTCTATGATTTCTCTCTTGTAGACCGAGAGAATCAGTCAATCCTGATCACGTAAGTAAATTTTATGCTTTCTTCTCATGGCTGCGATGGTTGCCAGGTTTGGAACTTCATCTCACTTAGTTTTTGTTTGACAGCGGAGAATCTGGTGCGGGGAAGACTGTGAACACCAAGCGTGTCATCCAGTACTTTGCAACAATTGCAGTCACTGGGGAGAAGAAGAAGGAGGAAATTACCTCTGGCAAAATTCAGGTGGGTCTGCGGCCAGACTCTAGACTCTCAGGGCTCTTGGAAAGTCTGGAGCCCTAGATGGAGGTAAGGACCGCTCTTGCCTTTGCAGGGGACCCTTGAAGATCAAATCATCAGCGCCAACCCCCTACTGGAGGCCTTTGGCAACGCCAAGACCGTGAGGAATGATAACTCCTCTCGCTTTGTAAGTTGCAGACACAAGTACGGGCACTGTTCACTGGTCACAGTATATGGGGTGTTTGTGAATATGTTCTTTAAATCTTTTTCGTTCACATTATACTGCATCGGGCTTCTCCTTTCCCTCTGAGCATGTAATAACATGGATCCGAGTCCCATCTAAAAAGATATGTGACCCTATATCTGAGTTCTTTCTCACCTGTCATTACCTACAATTATTTACAATATGAAAATCAAAGATAAAATTCTTTTACCTAAAGAAACAGGAGATATACCTTTTCTGACTCATACAATCAGTCTCTGGATTGATTTAATATCAACCCATTAGCATTCCAAGTATATTGAGTTTCCCAAAGATTTGATATGATTTGAAAACAAAGTAGTAATATTAGTTTTCCTTTCAAGGGTAAATTCATCAGAATCCACTTTGGCACCACAGGGAAGCTGGCTTCTGCTGATATTGAAACATGTGAGTGCTTGGATCTCCTTTATAGTCATTTCTGCTTCCTATAACCTACAAAGTCAACCCAAAGTAAAATGTGCATCCCACATGAATTTTTGTATTGCCCTGTTGGTTATTTCCTTCCAGATCTGCTAGAGAAGTCTAGAGTTACTTTCCAGCTTAAGGCTGAAAGGAGCTATCATATTTTTTATCAGATCACATCGAACAAGAAACCAGAACTAATTGGTAAGAAATGTCATAATCCCTTTCTAGAATGATTGCACCAGCCCCTCTCCATCTCCTAGTATTCCATGACTGAATTTTGTCAGTTTTATCACCTTGATTTCAAAAGTAGTTTTGTGAGTTTATTGTGATTATAGAAATGAAAAGCAAAAATTTAGCACCTTCAAATCCTATCACTATGAAATAACCACTGTGAACACTTGGGTGAATATCATTGTACTCATTTTCTGTACATATAGATACTCAGACATACAGTAACTGGAATCCTATGTCAGTGTTCTTCTGTGATATACTTTTTTCATCGAGCAATACCGTATCATGGTTTTTTTCCATGTCACCAATTATAGCTCCACATTATTATTTCTAATGGTTGCATCATGTTATATTCTAGAGATAAGCATAACTTATTTAGCAATACCTTTTAAAGGATATTTAGGTTGTTTCCAATTCTGGATTTTTAATAGTCAGCACTGTGCTGATCATTCTTACAGATATAACTTGTCCCAGTATGTGATAATCTTCTTGAGCTTTATAGATTGTCTTAGACTTTGTCTAGATATCTCTTGTTTTAATGAAGGGGTTCATTCTGCTTACCTTTTCTCTGTTCCATGTATTTAGAAATGCTTCTGATCACCACCAACCCATATGACTACCCATTTGTCAGTCAAGGGGAGATCAGTGTGGCTAGCATTGATGATCAAGAAGAACTGATGGCCACAGATGTAAGTGCAACACAAGAAACTCAGAATGATGATGTTGGGTTAGAGCAATGGTCCCTCCAGATAAATATTCAGTTTCTAGTAGAAATAGCAAAAGAGGGTTCAAAGTTGAGCACGGATGTGCCACCTGAAGTCAGCCAAAAAGATGAAGATGTGCCCCCACAACACGTGACTTTTAAAGGTCTATCATTTCTGAATTTATCTAAACCACATTTTTTTTTTTGGGTAATCTACATGAATGAGATCCATACCACTTCTCAAAAACAATAAGTTCCTTAAGTTTACTATCTTGTTCTCTATCTTAAGTTTCCTTCTTCAATCTGCTAGGGTTTGCAGATATAGGGTCTGCACCTATAATTCTAAAGCTCAGTGCTGGCCTTTGGTTGATTAACTCCCACTAGCCTTTGGTTAATCAACAGCCCTCTCTAAAGTGTTCCTTGCACCCCCATCAGCAATGATAATTTCCTCAGTTTGACCAACATGTCAGGAATCAGAATGTGAACAATGCATAGTAAGCATGTGGATCATAAACCTAACAGTTATTCTCTTGGTTATATTGGCAGAGCGCTATTGATATTCTGGGCTTCACTAATGATGAGAAAGTTTCCATCTACAAGCTCACAGGGTCTGTGATGCATTACGGGAACTTGAAGTTCAAGCAGAAGCAGCGGGAAGAACAGGCTGAGCCAGATGGCACCGAAGGTAACCAACTAAGTCATCCCCGATTTTTTGTTTGAAAATCACATTCTTAACTTGTTACCCTTGAGTTTTTCAAGGAAGACAAAATCATTTTTAAGAATTGAGTTTTAAAGTATACCCAGATAATATAGTATGTGAAGCATTGTGTTAAATAGATGTTTTCTATCATCTATGAAGTTCCTTAGGGCACACTACCCATAATAAAAGTCTTGAACTTAGTGAAAAAGAAATGGGTAAGAATGCTCAAAGAGATATTCTGAAAACACTGCACAAAATGTCTGTAGCTTAAAAACATTTTTTTTGAGAAAATGGGTTGCCTTGGGCCATAATAACATTGTTTTATCCTTTCTTCCTTTCAGTTGCTGACAAGGCGGCCTATCTCCAGGGTCTGAACTCTGCTGACCTGCTTAAAGCCCTCTGCTACCCCAGGGTCAAGGTTGGCAATGAGTACGTCACCAAAGGCCAGACGGTAGAGCAGGTAGGTGCATAATTCAAATTCACAGGCAGGAATCAAGCATTTTTACAGTCCTCTGATAACCTCAAGAGATATATTTTTGTTTTTCAAGGTGACCAATGCTGTGGGTGCTCTGGCCAAAGCCATCTATGAGAAGATGTTCCTGTGGATGGTCACCCGTATCAACCAGCAGCTGGACACCAAGCAGCCCAGGCAGTACTTCATCGGGGTGTTGGACATCGCCGGCTTTGAGATCTTTGACGTGAGTTGGTAACTGGTTGGTAAGGGGATTTTACAGTATGGCAACAGAAATATCAATAAGAAGAAATCTGTGAATATTATAACCCTCTCTCACTACTCCCAAAAAGCTATGCTGAACCTTAGAAGAGAATGATGGGGTAACTACTAAGCATTTACTGCAGTGGCAGTCCCCCTTCTATGACAGACCATGCACTTGATGAGCACTCTGAGTTGCTATGGGACCCAAAGAGGGTTAGGAGCCAGCTCAGTGTCAGGGGGAGGAGGTAGCCCTATAACTCTCACAGCGCCAAATGAAGTTAACATAAAAATGTCAAAGTAATCCCGTGAAACATATAACATGTTCTGAATATATGGTGGGGGAAGTCATTGAAAAACACTTAGACAAGACAAGAAGAACAGAGAAAAAAAGAGTAGTAATTTATAAAGTCAGCATTTATTCTCATTAATGGGATATTGTAAGATAAAAATCCCTATTTGATGAAATATAGTTTTCCTGCTTACAGTTTTAGGAAATTTATCTCTTTCTAATTATAAAAGCAAAAGTCGGACATTGTAGAAAATACACCAAATCAAGGGGAAGGGTCCCCTATTAACACCACTATTTATATCAAGTTAATGTTAACATTTTGGTGTCTGGTTTTTGTTGTTGTTGTTGTTGTTGTTTTTTAACACTAGTGTGTTATCGCACTGTATATGATAGCTGGTATCTTGATTTTGTTTTAATTTCCAATGAAGAAGAACAACAGTGTCAATTATTGTCTACTTGCAAAGCAGACACTGGTGATTTCCATACAACAGAGACCCCTCGCAGCCAACTCCAAATAGGTTGCCCATTAGCTCTTAATTGTGTCAATGGAAAATGGAGAAGATAATGGAATAAACATGAAATGATGAAGTGGGAACTCAGAAAAATCCCTGAGTGAGCTTAAGCCAGTGCAGGGCAAGAGCTTTAATATGATCTAGGATTCTGTAGTAAAATGGCAGCAGAGAAAACAATAGATTTCATAGTGCTTCCGGGTACCATGATTTTGATATCTGTAATCTAAAGGCTATTCGACATATATTTTTAAATTAAGAAGTCCTACATTTAAAAATGCTCAACTTGCTCAAGAGAAAAGCGAACTCATGTATTTATTTAGTTCAACAGCCTGGAGCAGCTGTGCATCAACTTCACCAACGAGAAGCTGCAACAGTTCTTCAACCACCACATGTTCGTGCTGGAGCAGGAGGAGTACAAGAAGGAGGGCATCGAGTGGACCTTCATCGACTTCGGGATGGACCTGGCTGCTTGCATCGAGCTCATCGAGAAGGTCTTCTGAACTGTCCACTCAGTAACGTCTTCTCATAAACTCCTTGGCACATCTTACAGCTCATATTTACCCTATATGCATTTTGTTTTGCTTTAATGTAGCCCATGGGCATCTTCTCCATCCTGGAAGAAGAGTGCATGTTCCCCAAGGCCACAGACACCTCCTTCAAGAACAAGCTGTATGAACAGCATATTGGAAAGTCGGCCAACTTCCAGAAGCCCAAGGTTGTCAAAGGCAAGGCTGAGGCTCACTTCTCACTGATCCACTATGCCGGCACCGTGGACTACAACATCACCGGCTGGCTGGACAAGAACAAGGACCCCCTGAACGAGACCGTGGTTGGGCTGTACCAGAAGTCTTCAGTGAAAACTCTAGCTTTCCTCTTCTCTGGGGCTCAAACTGCTGAAGCAGGTAATATTCAAGAATCCTAACACTTTCTCTAGGTATTCCAAAAAGTGCTGTTAGTTTGAGGCTGATCTCATAACCCTGCCAGAAGGATTGCAGAGCCAGATCCATTGTTCTTCCAAGTTTTGACTAAGTAGGCTGCGTTATAATCATACATTTGTGTCTCACTTACTGCAAAGGGTTAGAGAGAAACTGTTATGATCTCAACCAATGAAAAGCCTCAGCTTCTATGATTCTTTCCTACTTCTTCCTCCACGTCTGCTGGATATTGAGTATCTGGGGATATTTAAGACAATGGAATGACAACCTTCTGCCTATCTAGACTAGCTTCTATTAATGATTTTTGAAGTTATTTTGTCTCCACATGTCCTAACATTAAGGATCCATTTTTATATGGTGAAGTGAATGCCCTTTACTTCATCTTCTAATGGAAGAAAAAAATCACAAATAGTGGATACAAGCTTAGTTGACAGCTAAGTGTCATTTGGGCTCCAGTGGAGAGGCCAGTAGTGTCCAAAAACTGCTCCATCAGATGCGTGCAGAAATTGGCAATAAACAAGCAAGAAATAGCCCTGTCAGTTCAAAACCACACTTGAATGACACCTTTTCTTATTTGCTCTCCAGAGGCGAGTGGTGGTGCCAAGAAAGGTGGCAAGAAGAAAGGCTCTTCTTTCCAGACCGTGTCTGCCCTTTTCAGAGTAAGGAAGAAACTGTTTTTGACACTCCCCACTTCCTTTAGGAATTTGTTTTTAAAACCACAGAGTTCTTTCCACAAGTCACTGAGGAAGACTGACACTGATTAATGATATCTGTTAATCTAGTTTTGGAGAGAAGACGTTCAAATTACTCAGAAATTATTAGCTCATCTTTCATGCCAAGGAACACAATGCCAAATATTTTATAGGAAATTTTATAAAACTGAATATTCTACCATTCATAGTCTGGCTGAGTCATAAGACTAAGCAATGAATGACATGGTACTCAGAGAGATTAAATTAACAGTAAGGCTAATGAAAATCTAGCAGCTAGCCTATAGGAAATTTAATAGGGTATTCTTGTCCTTAATCTGGTCAGTCCTCAATTATAGCTGGTAAGATTGTTCCCCTTTAGATAACATTTATGCCCTAAGAGTTAACTGGGTTAGAAAGGAGAGCTATGTTTATGAGAAAAAGCAGTGTGGTGCAGGCTCACATGTCGTCCCTGGAGAACCATGGAGCCGGGTAGAAGAAAGTGTGGTCATCTTGTATAAGAAAGCAATGGCCTTGTAAGTGTATGTGGGAAGCCATGGACCAGGGAGGAAGTACGGCCTGTGTCAAGCTTCTTCCCATATGTAACTCCTTCCAACTCAAGGGGAGAAAGAGGTAATGAGGAGAAACCTACATCTCTGGAGAAGGATAGCAAGCTATTACTTTACATGGAAATGATCCATACCGGTCATTCAACTCAGCCATAAACATCGAACTTATAGACATCGCCAAATGCCCACAACCATGGCGAAAGTTGGGGATAACGGGCTCTTTCCTGACCTTACAGGAGAACTTGAACAAACTGATGACCAACCTCAGGAGTACCCATCCTCATTTTGTGCGCTGTATCATCCCCAATGAAACAAAGACTCCCGGTAAGAAGCTCTAGAGTGAAGGCACAAAGCAGGACTGCCACATTTCCTTTAAAAACAACAACAACAACTCTGCAGTGTAATCCATATGTATACTTTCAGGGGCCATGGAGCATGAACTTGTCCTGCACCAGCTGCGGTGTAACGGGGTGCTGGAAGGGATCCGCATCTGCAGGAAGGGGTTCCCAAGCAGGATCCTTTATGCAGACTTCAAACAGAGGTCAGACTCTCTGACTTATGGTACATCTTGAAGTTTAGTATAAATATATTTATTGCAAACAAAATAATTTGGTGAAAAAAATATGCCTCTATTCATGTTTAATTTGCCACAAAAAAGAGTGAAAAATCATAAGCCTCAAAAACACCCTTAAAATATAGATATACCACCTATTTTGCACTCCAGACTTATCATGGGCTTTATTGAGCTCCTGGTACAGCTCGTAGATAAACCCATTAACCTCAATAATTAGGAGAACTACCATTTTTTTCATGTGTAACATTTAAGTACTATCAACACCTCCTCTTATAGATGAATAAACTGAGACTCATGAGATTAAACTATCTGTCCAAAGTCACATGGGTGCTGGTAGCTAGGCTAGGAAACTCTGAGTCATTTTTTGTTATTTCTTGCTTTCCCAGGGTTTCCAGAACCATCACAATACAAGCTCCTCAGCAACTCTTTCTCCTCCCTAGACAAGCCCATCTTGGGAATCAAATAAGAGGCAAAGGGACAAGAGGCTGGTGGCAGCTCCAGGGAGCTGCCCCCTCCTAAGGGTGGGACTGGTGGAGTGGGCAGAGAACTTCAGTGTACAAAACCCAAAGCACCATTACACATTTATTGGGGTGATCAGGATAGTTTCTCCTACCTGAACTGGATCTTCCTACCCAATTCCTCACTAAAAATTTTCCTTTCTGGGACTCAGGATCATAAAAATCAAATGAATCTAGCCAGGAAAACATGTCACATTTCATTGGTTATCTACACCTAGATGCGAACAAGATCATAGGATCCTTTCCTGAGAACAAGTTCTGATGACGCAGAAGGGAAAGTCTGCAACTGTGCAGGAGGGTGGAATGGAATGAAAACTCTTGGTGCTAGCCTGACCACCGATGTACCTAAAGTCCGTCCTGAGAACAAAGAAGGATACTTTTCTTTAAAGCTCTGATTTTCTAAATAGAGGTCATTTAATGTTTATCTGCTATTAGTGTCATCATAAATCAACTTTTTTAAAAAAAAAACTATATTTACTTAAACAGGTACAAGGTATTAAATGCAAGTGCTATCCCCGAAGGACAGTTCATTGA